GAGCAAGGCATGCCGGTAAACATAAATCTTGTTTTTCTTGTTCAGCTGCTAAGAACATCAATTTGCATTTTATTCAAGKATTGTATTTGTATTTATTCGACAAGAAACAAGATCGGTGCATTCTTGAAATAGTTTTCAGGCCGAAAAGTGTACAATGTYTTGAAATCGTGTTTATTTTTAGCATGCTTCATTAAAACGGTCAACAGAAACGCGAGCTCGAGAGGTTGTCGTTTGTAAACGCCAAAGACGTTTGTTTACCAGGAAACGAAATAAACAGCACAAAAACAAATAARGAATTCAATAGAAAGGATTGGAAATTCAAAGTAAAATAACTTGCAAACGGAAAAACTTCTGAACGTTACGAATCGAAAATTTCTCGAAGATCATTATTTATCTTTTTTATTTTTTCATTTTTTGCTTTGTGAACTGTAAAGCCGCAAAGTAATTAACTTTTACACTGGAATTCTTATTACCAAAAAAACCTTTTTAGGTTAGTGTCGTCAACAACTTTCAGTTTTATTAGTTTTCAGCGCGTACAAGTATTGTTATGAATTTAGATGACAGTTGCGGTTGATTCCATTGAAAAYTTATTAAGAATTTTTGGGTATTTCTAAGCTGCGATTTGAACTTTATTTATCACGAAGCAAGAATACAAAATGGCTTTCACTTCTGAAGACTMTTGCAGAAATGCTTTTAACAATTCAACTAAAAGTTTTATAAAAGTGAAGGCTTAAATCATTCAGTCTCTTATTATTGTTCAGTCGTTTTCAACATGACAATACAAGCTGTTCAAATATTTTCCAACTGAGAAAGAGTTCTGAATCCGACAAACTTATTGTTGGTAACAGCCTCGAATAATATAAGCTGATTCACACTCACTTACGAGCAATAATCTATACCACTCATTGGAAATATTAATCATAATRTATTTTAATTCATAAACTGTCAATAATACACCTGAGCTATCAGCAGATTGGATTGACGTTCTTGGCACCGGTACTCAAAGGAGAGCAATGAACTTCATTGAAATTTTCTGACCTTTGATGCTAAAAGTGAATGTTTCATGTAAAAGATACACACGGTTGTTTAGAGACGATTTAAGGTATTCATAGAGTTGAATTATTTCAACATTGGACTTGATTTCCTAATTGAAATCAAAATTTTGTTCAAACACTGTGAAATTTTGCTGCAATGATGAATAGTCGAGTCATTTGAATCAAGAGGTCGATAGATGAACCATATGCTAGCGAAGTAAACTTCTTTATTTATAAAAGGAGWGAGTTGTTGAAGCTGAATGAGGCGGGCGGAAAATATATCGAAGATAAAGAAAACTACTTTTACAAGAAAAAAATTCAAGTCATAAAACTGGAGTGAGTTTTTCGTTCAAGGACGACAAATGTCTGAGCCAACAAACCGTACCACAGATGTAAAACCAACAAGTTACATTCAAAACGCCACATCCGCGATGCATGAATCAGAAGAAATGCCTGTGAGCCCATTRGTTTTGGGTTTGATTCTTGAACCAGGGATCATTACCGTGGTTTTTGGCAACCTTCTCGTGTTGTTGTCATTAAGATATCACAAGAAAATCATCGTCACAGATATCCTCTTGTTTTCTTTGTCACTGGCGGATTTTGTCGATGGGATATTCCCTCTACAAATCGTTGTTTTTATGAACTACTTCGTACAAAGACCCTGGACGAGATTTCTTTGTGATTTGTACATTGTTGTTGTCAATACTCTTCGGTTCGCTTCTGCAGGTACCGTTTCTCTCATAGCAGCAGAAAGAACCTATCTACTKGTTTTCCCCCTTAAATACCACACCAAAGTCACCAAAACAAAAGCTAGAAAAGTAGTGGCTGTAACATGGATTTTGTCGTTACTTTTTGGTATTTTACCCATAATTGGAGTGGGCCACACAGGGTTCAGGAATGGTCAATGCTTGTACCAGCTCTCCGACCTTGGCATGCACTATGCTATCATCATCTTAACCGTAGCTTTTGCACTGTTGTTCTTGGTATTAACTTGTTTTGTTGCTATCAAACTGTCCGGCGGGAAGTTCATAAAGAGACAAAGCGTTATGGTTGCCGCCAAACTTGCCACCGATGCATCGAAGCTTGCTTTCGCTATGGGCATGGGGAATGCAAAAAATACAAGATACCAAAGAACAAACAACAAAACTAAAGGAATTAAAGAAGTACGACGTTTGACAGCGATGATGACAGTTGTCATTATTCTTTATTATATTAGTTGGATTCCAATTCTGGTAAGTAATAAAATAGATATCTAGAAATACGTTTTAATTAATAAATAGCCTGTAGTAATAAATTTGCCCTGTTGGTCTTGAGCCATGAAAAATTTTCTTGATACGTTTTTCGTTGCTGTAGTGCTGTGAATTGTCCAAAAAACGTAATTGCTGAATGCTAGTCTTTCTAGTTTTCCAGGATTTTTCCTGCTTTGAGGCAAGAAACGGATTTCAAAAAAACTAAATGTTTCAAAAAACGCTATTTCGCCCCGTCCAATTTATCTTTATTAGCTTACGAGCTTACAAAACTGATCASAACTGTTCAGTTATGATGTCTTGCAGTCAGTGATAAAGAACACGCAGTTTATTAACTGAACTCAGTAGAATTCGATCTCTTCAAAGCTGCAAAAGTACATGGAATATCTTCTTTTRTGTAGATAGAATGGGAATATTTTCCATCCTAGAAACAGTTAATTTGAATCTTGATTTTAACCTTATTTTTCCTTGTTCATATGCTCTAGTCTCCGTATACCCCTCTTTGAATAGAACTCATATGGGAATCTAGGCTTTATTTCGTTTGTCGTCTGGCTTATTCTGAATTTCATTAATATCGGTGATCTATTATCTGTTCAGACAAGCGAAACTCAAATAGTACTTCATAACTACTAAGCCATGGCCAATAGTTATGGACACCATTGAGTGATGTTAATAATAAAATGACTTTTTTCACATCTACTTTCAAGTTGAGWTGAAATTTGAATAAACAAAGGTTTTAATTGAAACCTAAGATACAAAACGGCAACAAAATTAATAAAAAAGAGACAAAAATACTGAAAGAAAAAAAAAGAACAAGTATTAAAAAAAAAAAAAAAAAAATTCTAAAAACCATCTCCTTAAGTTGATGATCGAACTTTGAATTGTTGGCTCACATATCATCTCACTTTTTGAGATTATTCTTACACGGCAAGTTTTYGAAAACCTATAGGACCGATTTTCAAATTAACGCCTCCTAAGTTTCATTCGGTTCGTATCCTTGAAAATTTTAATCGATGAATCAGTTTGCTGCGAACATTTCAATGGCTTCCAGGAAATAAACTTTTTTGAGTCAAACAGGATTTTTCTTTGATTTGCTGTTTTTCAGCACACATCATATTTTATTTGTATAGCAAGATACACCAGTRAAGAATATATATATCCGTTCAGTATCCCGGAAAGCGGGAATGAAGCGTATTAATTTCAATCAGTTTGAGGAATCAGTTTTACCCTGCGCGTTATTCTTTGCAAATTCCAAATCTTTTGTCTGTCAWTATTGCGCATACTGTCTAGATAACGCATTAAAAAAATCTTTGACATATATCTTTTAGACCAACAATGATTTAGAAGAACGCGTTCATTTTACATTTAGCTTTGGCGCACACGTCATTCAAGTCCTTTTGTCTTGTTCTTAGTATATAAATACTCCTTTCTACCACCTCTTTCTCTTTTACTCCAACGAAGGACTAGCTTCCGAAACGTCAGTACGTTTTTTCATCTTCTCACGGTGCAAAATTTACCCTTTTATCATTACTGTTTCATTAGAAACACCGACGCAGCTCACACTAGTTTTTAGCTAGTTATCTCTCCCTTTTGTATAGTTTCTTTCTCAWCTGTAGTCTATTTCCGTCTCTTCCTTGATTCGAAGGCTTTTGTCCGGGTTCTCCGGTTTTCTTTCTTCTGCAAAAATCAACATAACCAACCAAGTAATTCGTCTTTTGAGCGCTAGCCGTTACGTTTTCGATTGTGTTACGGTCACCAAAAAGTTCGCACTTCGTTTTCGGATTCCTATACAAATGCACTGACTTTAAAAAGAAAATTCAGATCGATTTCTTTAGTTAGCTCTCTAACGAGAGAATATTAAGTAAGAGAGCACTACTCCCATACAAGGGTCTGTAACCATGAAAGTTTTTTGAAAATCTATTTTTAGCTCCGCGCGCAATGCTGAGCTATTTTTAGCATGCGATTCCTGATTGCTGCTCAGGGTTGTAGTGAATTCCGTGCGAGCGAAAAATGTTTAGTTCCCGACGAAAAAAATGCCTTCAAAATTAGTAAAAAGTTGAAATAATCAAAGCATCATGTGTTCTTCATAGACACTTTCTTTTGTTCAATTAATTAGCATCCAATGTCTTACTTTTCTCTGTGAGGGAATACAAATTTAAATAAGAAGTAATATTTCAAAGCCGACAATGAGGACTGGACGGGATTGCAAGTCAAAGCAATTAGTTCCAGTCCGAGGCGCGGCCGAGCCGACTAATTGCGCGGACTTGAAATCCCTTCCAGTCCGATATTGAAGGCTTTGAAATGACTTTTCATCTCATTAATTATTCGACTCGGAGTAACTGGAACAAAATTAATACAGTCCTAGTTACTCCTAGTTACTCCAGACTGAATGCATTCCTTTCACAGTACTTTACCAGATTTCAAGTAACATCATGTGACCAAAAAATAGCTCATTGATTGGCTGGTTTACTCATGAATTATTAATGAGTATGAGAAAGAAAATTCGCGAACGAATCGAGAGACAAATGACGCCATCATGTAAAAGTCCAATTGGAATTTAAAACTTGATTTTTGCTCCATGAAAAGAGATAAATACTAATAAATAAAGGTCTACGTTTCTCATTTTTTCCTCGCATACATCTAATTCTTCTTATTTCCTTTTTATGTACAATGATTGTTTTTAGATCAACAACGTGGTAACGATGATAAGACAGAAAAACTCGCCCAAAGCAGTTCTTCTCTTCACAGGCATGCTCTCTCTTCTCTACGCTYTGTCGAACCCCTTTCTGTACGGCAAGATGAGCCCGCGATACCTGCGGGGTTACAAACAAGTGGTCGGAGGTTTCCTTGGTTTGTGTGGCTGCCAGCCAACGTCCTGGACGACAACTTTTACGAGTACGTTCAAAGTTCAAAGTTCATGTTCAATTCTATGCTCAATTCGCAAAGTAAATAAATATAATTAAAATAATAAGAGAATAGTTTGAATAGGAAAGAAAGAGTAATCAATAATTGTGCGTGGACTCTCCCAAAGTAGTGYAGTTTTCGTATGACTGTGAAAAGCTCAGTGCCGTAAGCGTGACGTGCCGTGACCGTGATACTTTCTAGAATTTTAATTGGCTGGATTTTTTTCACGCGTAATATGATTGGTCTAAAAGTGCGGTGATCTTGGCGTGACCGTGTCYGCGYCGTGTTTATGCYGTGTTYCGGGTATTTGATTGGATGRAKAGTAAATTCTCGTGCAATGTGATTKGTCTGRCGTATMCCTTGCTGTGTCACGACCGTGTTCGTGCCGTGAACTTTTCACAGTCATACGAAAACTGCACTAGCTAAAGCTTTCGGGTTGGGATTCGTAATTAGAAAAGGTTGTCAYTGTCGATCATTGTCGTGTTCAAAACATAGMACTTAGRAGCTGAGATCAAAATGGTGTATGGGAAGTACGTTAATTAGAAAATAAATACATTAAAGCGGGGTTGACGTAATGATGTCATTTCCTGGCAAGGCCGACAATGATTTTGGGTTTCAATGGACGTCATTTCCTGTCTTGTGCGGAATGTTCATCATCTAAATCACAAGTTTTCAATAGAATAGGCCATTTGCAWGATGGCGTCATTTGACTCYCRCTAYCATAATGCTTCGCGAAATTTCTTTCTTATTTAAATTTGTATTCCCTCATGARAATAGTAAGACAATTGGTGSTAWTTAACTGAACAAAAGAAAGTGTGCAAGGGAKTCTGGTAGTAGAGGTCAATGACGCCATCGTGCAAASGTCCTATTCTACTAATATATCAACTTTTTCTTATGGAAACGCTTATTTTGCAGGTCACTCTACGATTGCCTATTCTGTTCATGTAAATACAAGAAAAATAAGTGAGTCAAACAAAAATCAACGCAAGGACGGCCATACAGCAGACAAGGTGCGCGCGCATAACAAAGATGACTGCAGCTGTACCGCTGAGCAACRCAGTGAGGAAGCAGATGGCTCATACGATAATGCTGCGTATCGRAAAAGCTTCTCAAAGAGCAACAAACTAAATCTTAGAAGCCATAAAGACTTAAACAAGGATTTCAAATTTGATATGACTGATGACGAAACTCTCGTCTATGACACTCGCCTTTGACGTGGATTTCGTTAGGGGTRCGTGGGTAAACGAAGTCAATTTAACGACTGAATCACTATAGTAAAGAAATAGAAAACGCACGCGCGTGCTGTATGCAGTTAAAAAGCACGGGCGGTTTGACAGAACACCAGTGATCTGTCAGGAGAAGCACGACGCAAGTGCTGTGTTTCTCGACACCTCTCAATTTAAGTGCTTTATGACTCAACACAGGACAGCAAGCTTTTTTTACTTTTATAAAGTACAAATTACAACAACTGTTATTTTAGATAGGAATGATGGAACTGAAAGTGCGCGCGTGCTGTATGCTCTATAAAGCACGCGCTCCCAACCAATCAGGATGCGAGATTTAAAACAGTTATTTTTATAGAGTCTTGTAGTCTTTTGTACCATAGGTGTGATRTATAGCCTTTTCATTTCACGCCACTTTTCATTTCTTGGTTATTATTATTTATTTTTGTTTAACGGTTTTATATGARATCTAGAAGAGAAATGAATATGGATCAGTACAACTCAAACGAAGAATATTTTGCTCAAAAAATTGACACGTGGTCTGAAATGAAACAAAAAAGTAAAAGGTAAGATAAAACGGTCTATTTCCTTGAGGAAAACGTTGACAAAAATACAATAATGTACACAAGTTTCATTGTGTGTTGCTTTTATTTTTTGCTTCCAGTGAAGTTCCATCAAATTTCAAAATCGTAGAAATTATACATTCTTTACTTTACTGCTTGTAAATATTTAGAACCTGAAATAAGAGTGACTCTAGAGCCGCTATTAGTCATTCCGATGTTGAGGGAAATACTGAGTCGAGTTGGCATTGCAGTGCATTGTGGGGCTGTTTAAGGGGACGAAATAGACGCCATCTTGGAAATATATCCCCTAAAACAGYCCCAAAACGCATTGCATCTMGGCTAATAGTTTTCCCAGTGGAATATAGAACGTTCATTTCACTTATTTAACCGTTCTCTCATTGTAATCTTCATCACTGACGGATGGCTGTAGGACAGCCGAAACATGTGTAGATTAAAAATTTGGTTTCTATTCATCAAAATTCTGATCAAATTGTTTCGACCGCTTGGAAATRTAGAACGTCCGACAAAATAACTTGAATTCAGAAGGTTTTCTAGTYGTTATTGATTTTTGTTCTTGATGTTAAGACAGACATTTACGATTTTAAGCAACCAGTGTTTTTTCATCTCCTTGGGTCGTTTTGCTCCTCGGGCTTCCTGCGGCGAGTACRAAACGACGAAGGGGAGGGGAGGGAAGGGAGAAAACTTTTTCTCGCTTTYTTTTCTTTCTCCTACTTCCACTCCTGAGATATCGGGTTCCCTGTGTTCCTCCCGMTGACGAAAGCGTTTCGTTATGCATATTAAATTACTTCTTATATCTTGCKCATGAGAATATATATGAAATATATATCTTATACTYATYAATWATYCWTGAGCTCATCGACYAACCAGGGTTTCTTATTTGTACCACGTGCAGTAGTTTGAAACCCCCATCAAATACGACTGCACYCATTCCAAAGTCCTACTACTCGGATGTCGTGATGATGTCGTGTCAAATACTCGTCACTGTATTCTATTGGGGTTTGTATCAAATTGAGCTGATCTTCGCAGTATAATGAAGCAACTTATGCAGCTGCAAATTGAAAGACTCAGAAAAAATTGAACGGGATTTAAACCCGTGCCCTGGCGATTCCGGTGCCATKCTCTAACCACTACCAGCTACCAAGTCTCATATGAGACTTCAAGGACAAATTACATGGGTTTATCGGCCCGATAGGAAAGATATATACGGATATGTATGAGMATATAWATATGAAATATATATTTGTACCGCGGTYGTAATGTATCAAATTGAGCTGATCTTCGCAGTATATGAAAATCTTATCTCGACCTTCTAATCATGTTTGACTTTTTCACGTTTCTTTAAATTAGTGAGCGAGCGAGTGTCTCATTTGCATATTCAGACCCCTCACAATAACTTGTTTCTAGACGCTTCGCGTACCCACTAGTTAAAAATACATTTTAGTTTTTCCAACATAGCAACAGTAACTAGAAAAATAAAATAATAAATGCGGGATCGATGAACTAGAGAAAAGACGA